CCGTACGCATCATCGCCCTTTTCTCGTCCGTCGCACTCAGCCAACCGATCGACCGACAGGTGGGGCAGACGCCGCTGCACATTGCCGCCTGGAACGGCCACGACAGTGTCGTCCAGCTCCTTCTTCATGCGCGCGCCGACGTCAACAAGAACGACAAGGTGTGCAGCGTGCGATGATGGACACTATTGTCTTATGTGGTGTGCAGGCAGGATGGACGCCCTTGTACGTGGCCTCGGAGAAGGGCCACGTCGCCGTTGTCGCGTTGCTGATCGCAGCCCACGCGCGAGTCGACCAGCGAAGGGGGTGCGTCGATGCATCGATCGTACAATGAAGTGCTGATCCTTGTGTAGGATGCGTGGACGCCGCTGCACGTCGCAGCCTGTAATGGGTACGCGGCTGTCGTATCGCTCCTGCTGCAGGCGAGCGCCGATGTCAACAGCACGAGCAAGGTCATCCATCACACGCCCTTGTCTCGGCGACTTAGCGAGTTTTTATACAGGCAGGATGGACGCCTTTGCACTTGGCAGCTGTCAAGGGCCACGCTGCAGTGGTGTCGCTGCTGCTGGGCGCCAACGCCAACGTCAACCAAACCGATCATGTATGCTGTTGTTCTCTAGTCCTTTGTTTTCATAAATGGCTCGCGGCGTAGGAAGGACAGACACCGCTGCACATCGCAGCCGAGAAGGGCCACGCGCCCTTGGTGACCCTCCTCCTCGAAGCCGACGCCGACATCAACATCAAGTCCAGGGTCCGTCCGATTGAACGAGGCGGCGTGATGTACTCTTCTATGCTAGGCCGGGAGGACACCGCTGATGCTCGCCAAAGAGAAGAACCACGACAATGTGAGCGCGATCCTCGAGGACATTATGGCCTTCAAGGTAGCCTGCTTGACAACATCTAGGAACTGATAGCCTGTGACGCGTAGCTCGTCGACGCGGTCCGGCAAGGCGACCTCGACCAAGTGTTTCATACCATCGTCCACGAGCGCGTGAGCCCAAACACGATCAATTCGGTACGACGAGGTTTGCGACATATCGAGTTGGACAAAATTTGTCCATGTTAGAATGGCGAGAGCTTGCTGTTCACGGCCGTGCTGAGCCGCAACGCCAAGATGACGCGCACGCTGAGTGACGCGGGCGCCGACGTCAACAAGGGCGACGAGGTGCGATACCACACAAGAGCCTTCGTGACCGAGATTATTTTGCGGTATAGAGTGGCCGCAGCCCGCTCATTGCCGCCATCGAGCTCGACCACTTCCCGACTATCATTACGCTGCTGCAAGCCAAGGCCGATGTGAACCAAGGACCACCGGTACGAACATCGATCCTCGTCGCCCTTATGATTTCTTCATGTTTTTAGGGAGGCATGACGCCTCTCTGCATGGCCGCCTTCAACGGCCAAGAAGCCATTACCAGCATGCTCTTATCGTGCAACGCGGATGTCAACCTCCCGGGCACTGTACGTGTGCATCCAACGGCACATAGATCGGGTGTTGATGCGGGCGTAGGACGGGCAGAGTCCGCTGCTACTGGCCGTGACCGCGGGCCACAAGGGCATTGTCGGCATGCTGCTCGTGGCGGGTGCCGACGTCAACGGTGCCAACGCGCATGGCTACACGCCGCTCGCGCGCGCAACAATGAACGGCGATAGCGTGCTTGTCGAGATGCTGTTGGCTGGCGGGGCCGATGTCAACCAAACCGACAAGGTACCTCTCTCCCGACTGGTTTAATCCGCCCCCAACCTCGGACTAGGACGGACGGACAGCGATTTTTGTGGCCAGCTCCAAAGGCGACGATCCAATGGTCGACCTCCTCCTCGAAGCGCACGCGGACGTGACGATCGCGAACAAGGTACACGAAAAGCCCGAAAAAATGGCGCGAAAATCTGAAAAATACGATCATATAGGCTTGCGAGTCGCCCTTGCAGGTCGCCATCAAGCACGGCTACCGTAAAATCGCCCAAAAACTCCACAGCATTCTCGTCCTCGAGGCGCCCAAGGTACGTGCATGTCTCAACTCGCTCCTTTCGATCGACGATGCTTATGGGACATGTGATAAATTAGATCGAGCTCGACGAGATCGAGCTCTTGTCCGAGCAGCCGATTGGTCGCGGCGGCCAAGGCATCGTATACAAGGGGCTCTACAAAACAACCGAAGTCGCGATCAAGACGGTCTTTGACAAGGAAGGTATTGCGGCGCTGGAGATTGAGATTGAAAACATCATTCGGTACAAAATGCTCCAGCAAGGTGTACCCTAACCTCCCCTACCCCTAGGTGCAATTCGCCGTACATTATCAAGCTTCTCGCGGCCTACGGCCTCCACACGAACGAACCCAAGATGGTGCTCGAGTATATGAACAGCGGCAACCTTCGGCACTACCTTAACCGCAAGCGCGACGGTCTTCCGGTCGCGCTCGAGTTTTCGACGCTGCAGATCGCATGGGTCATTGCAAATGCAATCTGCGATCTCCACGAGAAAAACCTGCTGCATCGGGATTTGAAGTCGGACAACGTGCTCTTGTGCTCAAAAAACTACATCAAGCTCGCCGACCTGGGCATCTCGCGGCAGTACGACATCCACACGATGACGTCGGCGGTCGGCACGTGGCACTGGATCGCGCCCGAGGTGTTCGACGGCGGCCACTACGACTTCTCCGCCGACGTCTACTCGTTCGGCGTCATCCTCACGGAGCTCGAGACGTACCAGCGGCCGTACTGGAACGTGCATCTCGGGCAGATGACACTCATCGATCAAGTGCGCAACGGCGTGCTCCGGCCAACGCTCTCGGCCAAGTGCGACGAGTGGTACCGCCAGCTCACGGAAGCGTGCTTACGCCACGACCCAGCGTCGCGCCCCAAGGCCAAGGAGATCGTCAAGTGCCTCGAAGGCCAGATTGCGCAGTCGCGGAAATTTATAGACAGAAGTTGGGAGACCGTAGGCTTTTTTATCTAGTGTACTAGCATCCTGTGATGTGATTATTCTATCTTCTTAGGCGTCGTTCGCGGCCATGACTATGGTGCCGCTCGCCAATCTCGCGCGCGCGGCCTAATCGTGTTAATGCTATTAGCCACTTGGATCCATCGTACTGCATTTCATCCGACTTTCAAGGTCCTACCACTGAGCAATATGAATTGGTCGGTCTCTCAACGTCGTGAGTGATGGTTCCTTGTGAGCGCATTAAACGTGGGAGCCACAACGGCTACGATACCGGTCGACCATCGTTGTCTAGTACGCGGGTTCCAAAAACACGCTAATTCAAAGAGCTGGAGCCACCAATTACCGTAGAAATAGCCGTGCAAATGCCGCAACGGCTGGAGCAGGAGCACAGCCGACACTCCATCGATCTTTCCGGTGACGGAACACCCAGAGGCCAACATCGCCGCGGGTGCCGAGCAGAGCCCAAGGATTCGCTCACATTTTTCCCGAGGTGCGCCTGGCGTAGAACTACCAGATCTGGGCAAAAAATGCACACCACCAGATGCAGACGCGCAGACGTTGTCTCCATTGACGCTTTGACCATACACTGTAGGCGTCGGGATGTCCTTTCGCAACACGCTCGCAACCTACGATGCTCTCATCGTCGCTCGTGATCGCGACCATCAAGATCATCGCGGCGTTTCTCCCATGGACCGACGACCTCTGGACACTGCTGGGCGTGCTTCCGGCGCACAGCCGGCCAATCCTTCGCGTGAAATGACGGACGCCGCAACGCCCATTACAACGCATACCGCCATGAGTTATGCGAGCCGAACGACGCATTGGCCGTCGACCACGGTTACGGTTGAATCCATCGAGCTCGACCGCTTGCGCTACGTGGACACGCGCGGCCTCAATGGGTTGCCACAGCCGGTGACCACGCGTGTCTTTCGCTGGTCCAACGTCGGGCTCACGGACACGATCCTGTTCGGGGACGCCGACAACTTGGGGCACTCGCTCGCACCCGCATCTCGCTTGGAAGAGCTCCATGTTCGGTCTTGATGGAGGAAGACTAAGGGCGACACTCTGGAGAGCACAATCACGTGGTCTGACAAACCGTCCACGTCACGTCCAGTGAGTGAAGGTTTTGATTTGGTACCTTCACTCTTACTCCAACAGCACAAGCTTCCAATTTCCGACTCTTCACTTGTCGATTCGTCACCTGGTCTTTCGATGCGTGTGGCTCTGGAAACGATCGAGCATATTGCAACGTTCATCCCGTCGCAACCTGCGCTCCACGCGTTTCTTAATGTCCTTCCAGAGCGGACGCCAGCGATGGAGCTCGTCCGGACGTGGGGCAAGACAGGCGGCACGGCTCATTGTAGCTTCTCGAGCTTTTCCAGGTTGACCATGTCCTTTGACGCGCGCGTCGTGCAGCACTACGAAGTTGACCCGGTGTCGATTGCTGCGTACGCTATTTCGACACCGTTCGCACCGCGCGTGTCGGTCAGCGTTGGCAACATGGCGCAGTGGACGCGCTACGTCAACGCCATCGCCCATCTCGTCACATCGGTCGAGTTGGACCCCATGCCCGGCTTGGACGATCCCATCCAAGCAGCTGCGCTTCGTGACGCACTCGTCGCGTGTCCGCGCCTGCGCAAGCTGTGCGTCCGGTACTCCGACTGGGGCGATGCCATGGGTATTGTCGCAAGCATCGACTGCATCCTCCGTGCTGCACCCTCCATGTCGCGTGTTTGCCATATTGATATCAAAGGCTCGGTGACCGTACACAGTCTCGCCGCGTCGAGCGTGCACAGCCTCGTCCAGTGGATTGAGGCGGGAGAAGCCACCCACCTCCGGCTCCACCATGTAAACGTGGCCATCGACGAAGGCGGTAGAGACGGCGTTGGCGCGGCGCTGGCGTCAGCGATCTCGCGCTCAACGACGCTTCAAACGGTCGACTTGAAGAATGTTACGTTCTTCAACACGCAGGGTCTCGTCGGCCAGCCGCTGCCAGCAACGACGCGCGAGTTCCACTGGGCCAGCAACGACGACGCGCCACGCCTCCCGACGGCAGCGACGCTCACACGCCACCTCGGGGCTTCGCTGGCATTGGCCTCGCGATTGGTGGTGCTCCGCCTTGCTGGCAACAACACGCTGTGCCCAACGACGCTGGTCGCCGAGCTCGCAGCGGTGCTGCCACACATGCAACACCTCGGCAGCTTGCACCTCAAGGGCAACTCGCTGCAAGGTGTCGACGTCTCGCCTCTCATGGCGGTCCTCCCATCGCTTCCCGCTTTGGAGACGCTGCGAATCAAGATGGCCCGGCTGGACGACGCCGGTGCGCGGGCGCTCGCGTCGGTGCTTCCGCACTGCACCTTACTATGCCAACTGCTGGTTCAAGGCGGTGCGTACAACGAAGCGTCGTCCGAAGCGCTGCTGACGGCCACCGCATCGATGCCAGCTCTCGATTACTTGGAAATGGACGTGGCAACCGACTGCAACGAAGGCTGGATGCAGCGACTGAGTCCGCTGCTCGCAACTTGCGCCACGACGACTGCATGTATGGTGTTGCACAGCGTCAATGTCTCGTCGTCAGCATGTGCAGCGTTAGCAAGCGCCTTGATCGATGCGGGTTTGCGTGAAGTCTCTCCGGGGGGGCAATCCTACCGGGTGGGGGTTCCGACATGTAGCGACGAGGCGAAGGAGCAGTCGAGCTGCATCTCATTAAAGAACCGCAACTTGTTGCTCATGTAACAATGACAACGATTGGCGGCTGAGTTCTTTACGTCGCTCGTCGCTTTGAGCGCAAGACAGACACGTTAGCTTGAGTAGTGCGAACCACTACGGGACCTCAAAGGTCTCACTTCAACAACAAGCAGTACACCGCATTTTTGAGTGCCCCGGGACTGCCCTCGATGAGGCCACTGCAGAAACAATCAACTGGTTCGAGTACTCAGTTTGTGGTCATATGAATCTGGAACCGGCGGGGGATCGAACCGGTCTCTATCTGGTGATAAAGAGTTGTGTAGAGGCTCTAGGAAAGCCGTATTTACGACCGAGGGCACCATTCTAGACCATTGATTCTAAACTGCATTCATTGAAACGCTGCGCCACCAGACGCTCCGCGCACCAATCTGTTGCGTGGGCTCATCCTTCTAGACAACTGCGAACTCGGAGATGCATCACCTCCAAGAGCTTTTGCAATACTACATAGCAAGATGTCAACTCTGAACGCGACGTTTC